TATCAAGAGGAGTCAAGCCTATGTGTCTAACTTGATAATCTATAATTATTCATTTACAAATATAGGCAATAGATCTGTGTAGGATTCAGATGGTAAACTGGTCTCTCACTTAGTAGATAAGTGTGCAGGAGCTGCCTGTGGCAATAGAGGTTAAGAGGGTTGCTCAGAGCCACACTGCTAATAAGAGTCCCATGCTGCCTCTTTATGCAACTAAAGAGCAAAAAATAGAGGATCTGAAAATAATTCCCATCTATTGAAGAGTTTCAAAATCCTAAATCATGAAAAATAAAAGTATGTGCATATAGCATTATTTCTCATGTAAAATGCTACTTTCTTCTGGTGGGTTGTCAACAAATCCATGAAAGAAGGATTTAAATATACTATTTTAAATGCTGCTCAGTGGGGCAAAATTGCTTATTAAATTTTAGTTGACTTAGTCCAATTACTTGACTCACTTCCAAGTATACTTCTCATACATAGGCTGTTTTAAATAAAGAAAAATGGCAAAAATATAAAGTTCTCTTGTGAATTCTGCAATGTGAAGAACTTTAGAACTGTAGAAGCTTAGAGTTAGAAGGGACCTCAGTGACCATCTAGACTAACCCACACCCTAAAAAAGAAGCCTTAATGCTACACTCCCCACAAGTAGCCATCTGCTTGTTGCTTGAAGCTCTCTAGTGAGGGATAACCCACTAACTCCCAAGACAAGACAAGTCAAATCCAGTTTTGGATTTTCTAATGGTTAGGAAGGTTTTCCCCTACATCAGGCCTAAATTAGATTCCTATCCACTTTCACCTATTGGTCCTGACCAGGTTTGTAATTAATTATAATTCCTTTCTTGGTCAACCTCAGTAATTCTAGATATGAAATACAGCAGGAATTACCAGGTCTTTACCATGACTTATATTTTATTAATTCCAAGAAAATGAAGCTATAGCTAATAAATCAAGTATTTGCATTTTCTTAACTATGGACTAAATACTTTTGTTGTTTTCAGTACTTGCGCAATAATCAAACAGCAAAGATTTAATAAGTGGTTACTGTGTGCCAATGACTTTGCTAAAGATATGTCAACCCTGACTAAATAACCAAGAAGCCACAGGAGCTTTGTAACTGCTGTTAACACTAAAAAACAAAAAAACCAACAAAAAAACAGCAGAGAGCTCACATAGGTTATCAAAGCTATGTATTTGGAGCAAACCAATTAAGTTCTCTGGGCCTCAGTTTCTTCCTCTGTAAAATGATGAAGTTGAAATAGATAGATAACCTCTTAAGGTGGCTTCCCAGCTTTAAATCTGTGATTCCTATGAAGAACAAATACAAAATAATTCAATACAAGGGAGTGGGTGTTTTTCTTAAGTATTTATTGAACTGAATTGAATTTTTATTACCATGTATGTTCTTACTATATTGAGCCAAAATTTAGGGGGAAAAAATACAACAAAACAAACACCTGAAATTGCTCCTGCATCAAGGTGGGTTCTTTATTTATCTGATTGCTTTACTCATTCATTCAATAGCAGCATATTCATGTTATTCTATACAAAGCACTGTGTTGTGAGGTGAGTGAGGCACAAGTGTTAAGAACTGACTTTTATAACAATTGGGCAGCTACATGGCACAGTAGAGTGCTGGGCCTCAAGCCAGGAAGACTTACGTTCAGTTCTAGCCTCAAACACATACAAGCTGTGTAACCCTGTGCAAGTCACTTAACCTTGTTTGCCTCAGTTTCTTTGTCTGTAAAATGATCTGTAAAATGGCAAAGCACTCCAGTGTCTTTGCCAAGAAAGCCCCAAAAGGGATCATGAAGAGTCACATACTACTGAAAATGGGCAAATAAAAATAACACTTCTAGGTTTGCAAATAATTTTGCATCCATCATTTCTTTTATTCTCATAGCAATCCAAGGAGAGAGTTATAACTATTTTTGTATGCATTTTACGGATGAGAAAATCAATCAGCAAGCATTTATTCAATCAGCATTCATTTATTAGGTGTCTACTGTGTGTTAAGCACTGTGCTAGGCACTGAGGAAAATAAATACAAAAAAAAAAGAAATAATTCCTACTCTGAAATAACTTAGTTCCTAATGAAAGAGATGAATTATATACTGAATAAATGTAAAAAGAAAAGATACAAATAAATACAAAGTAGTTAAATACAAGAGGCTTAGTCAAAAATAATAGTTAAGCATGAGGTTTAGAGAAGTTCAATGACAGACCCAAGAGTACAGAACTAGTAGATTGGAAGAGATTGAAATTGTTAGTCTACTGAATCCAATGCACTTGCATCGTGGCTTTCTCAGCCCTACTCCTTTTAGGGCTCACAGCCCAAGAGCAGTAATAAGACATTCACCTCAGAAAACCATAATGCATACAAAACAAGAAAATCCTTCCTCAATTATTTCTCAGCAAATCCCATGGGTATTGATTCACTGAATTCCTTATTTAGCTCTAGAGGATGAAATTTGGCCATGGTATTGCCACCAGCAGTGCAGATACTTGTACCTCCCCCAAAAGTTCTGTACTGATATGAACTGGGTTCAGTCTTAGAGAGGAGTCAGGTTTTTCTCTTCTCTGTGGCTTATGACCACCGAAGAAATTTTCCAGGGGAAAATCTCCTAAACAGTGTTTAAGGGGACAGCTAGGTGGTGCAGTGGATAGAGCACTGGCCTGGAGTCAGGAGGACCTGAGTTCAAATCTGGCCTCAGACACTTAACACTTACTAGCTGTGTGACCCCTGGGCAAGTCACTTAATCCCACCTGATTCACAAAAAAACCAAACCAAAACCGTGCTCAGGTGTGGCTGATGTTTAAGATATCGCCTAAGTTATTCATCTTTTCAATGGGTACTAACATATAAAGTAGATATCAGACATAGGACAACTATTTATTTCATCTAACACACACACAAAAACAAATTTGTAAGCACATATTGACAAATACTTAAACCATAAAAGAGTAATTTATCGAACCTATAATACTTTGCCAAGAAGAAAACACAAGCTTGTTGGGCTATGGAACAAATATAACACTTTTACCTCTGACCTGCACTGTATACTCACAATTTTGAATCTCCTTGTAAGTCAGTCCATGGCTTAAGCCTTTTCAGCTCTAGCAAACTCCTTCTAGTTTCTAATGGTGATGGGATATTTTATTATCTGGGATTCCGTATTATTGTAGGCAATGCTTCTCATTGGGGAACAAACCACAAATCAGCAATCTAGAAGCTCTTGAACACATGAGATAGGTGCCAGCCTATAAAGATTGGTTTCCAAATTGTTGTTCAGTCACCTGTGCTTAGGAAAGGAAAACAACAAGAACAACAAAAAACAAACCAAAAAACCAGAAGAGGCAGCCAGGGATTGGAAGTCCAATCTCAGGCTTGTGTAGCCAAGCACCTTTGCCTGCTTCCATGTGCTCATTCCAACCCTAGTGCTAGGGGCAGGGTAGAGAGAAATTCCCCACTCCTCAGTAGAAGTCAATGGGGGAGGTGGTGGAACTATAAGGTTCCATGTGTGTATCTTCATTCAGTAGTTCCAAGCCAGGTCCAACTCAGTCTCCTGATAATTTAGGTTTGATATCAGAATAAAATGAGATGAGTAAGTCATTCAGCAGTCAACAAAAGGAGATTTACCTACCCATAGCAGGAGGATGGTCAATAAAGATGCATTCGAGATACCTGGGTTGAGTCAACTGAATGAAGTTTCCTGACCTCAGTTGCCCGTCATGATCCACCAACCAACAATCAGGGAGAACTTAGAGCTCCTTGTGGTTGTTTTCTATGCAGGCAACTGGAAAATGGTGTCAGCAACTTGAGCCTTAAGTCCTCCCAGCCAATCAAGTTTTGAGAATGGTTTCAGTACTTTTTAATGTTTTTAATGTTTTTTAATGTTTTAAAGATGTCAACTTGCACAGGGGAATGGAGAATTTTAAACTGTTGTTCTCACCATAGTTGTCATGTCATTTAACATCATTAGCATGCCAAGGAAAATGAACAATATCTCTGTCTCCAGCAATGAGATTAAGCCATGCACAGTGGTATGGTGTCTCTGTTCCTTGGAATTTGTACACAGCCTCAAGGGGAAGCCATAGCTGTAGCCTTATTGGCCAGTTGCTTCCTTGTGCTTCTGGATATAAATATGGGTAGCATGTCTTTGGCCAAATTTAAAGAGCTCCACTTTTTAGTACTTTTTCAAGGAGCCTGATAATGGTCCCCAAGGTGACATGGCAGCGCATTGTGAAAAGGAATAGATAAAAAAAGAAAATTCTATCCTTTTAACACATGTAATTTGAACCCAGTTGAAGGCTCAATTAGATTTTCATAGATGGCTGTGAAAAGTGATGCCACTTTTAGTGGGCTCAGCTTCCCCCCCACCTTTAGCAGGGTGAGAGAAGGCAGGTTAGACTTTAAATATGGGCCTTGTGAAGTCTGATTTGAAAGTACCAATACAGAGGGAGCCATGGTTCTAAGAGATTTGATCTCTTGCTGTTCTAATTTAGTCACCCTTTGGAAAACAATCTGAACTAAATGTCATTACCCAGAGCTACTTGAAAAGTAAAGTAGACAAATTGAGCAGCCTAAAGAATGCCACTTCAGTAATCAATTATTTTCAATTACTTATGACCTCTGAACACTTTGCCGTGAAGGAAAGTATCTGTGGTTGTTGATTTTGTAGAGAATAGAGGAGATACAGGGAATAAAGTTCTTTCTTGTAAAATATGTATTTTGATATTTTAATATTCATGCACATTTCATAATTATCAGAGTCCACATATATGAAAGGACATTGGTATCTTGCATAGGACTATGTTGCATATTTATATACATATACATATGTATTAAACATCCTTAGTATGTGATTTCATTTTTATAGCCCTTATAATGTGATGACTGTCATGCATCCTTCCTTTAATGTGTAAAGTAAAAATCCTCATTTTTGCATCATCATATGTCTTTGCTATATCTAATTAACATCAATTTTTTTTGAACTACACAGAGCTGGCTATTTGCCTCAGAATATTCCCCTGGAGATTATCAGATACCTTTCTGAGGAGAAGGATTTTCTTCCGTGGCATGCTGCCAGCCGGGCTCTTTATCCCCTAGATAAATTACTGGACCGAATGGAGAACTACAATGTCTTTAATGTAAAAGATATATTTCTTTCATCTTCAATTCTCAAAAGATATGCTAGTTTTTCATCATATACTATTGTGCAACTGATTCAAAGTTATTTATTATCTCCCTAATTGTTCCTCTTATTAATTTTGTCATGTGTTCCTATGGTTATACGGTTTCTAGTATTTGAAGAAGAAAATTTAAGACAAGCTAATTTGTCCTACCCTGAAAGTATGTAACTTTAATGTTATAGCATTAAAAAAAATACAGACAAACAACCCAAATCCTCCTAGTCCAAACTTGTTTCCCTCTAGTTATAGGGCTCTTCACTCACCAAGGACTGAAATAACCCAGGCAGAGGGATTCTAAAGATCTTAACAGGATACCGACAATTGCAGTAATATTGTTAGTCATTATTTTTATCCAAAAGGGCATAGTGAATTCAATTCACTCCCTTAATTAACAAGGATAAGATCAACATTGAGGCAAAAGCCCATTCATAATTGGGTCCAAGGGGATAACAGTGTAGCAAACAATAGATAATCCAAATAGACAGGAAAGCATGACAAACATTCCAAAATATACTACCTGAAAAATCTTACCTCGACTAGAAACTGGTCGGGAAACCAAAATATTACTGTTGACAGTAACTAGTGGAGAAATTTCATGACCATTTCAAATTAGATTAGCATTGAGTACTGCTAATGAGCATTTGATATTTCATTTTCTCATTACCAATATAATTTTGGTGCATATGTTTAAGTGTATTTGTATGCAGTGTTAACTTTATACACTGTTTTCTTTCCTATGTTCATTTTTAAGAGCCCAACTAGTATCCCATTAAATAACCCTCTTTCCTATAATATACTGACTATCCTTTTAATTAACTTACAGTCTTAGTATTGTTTAAAGCTAGATGACTATAGCATAAAATTCCTTTAATGGAGGCATCTCAATTCCCAGATTGTCGTTAGAGTTGCTTTTCTTTTTTTATGCATAGCCTGCCTACACAGATGCAGTTCAGTTTTAATATATAAAAATGGCAACATTTGGGGGTAGATGGTTTTACCGCTACGACTTCTATCTAAGGCCTCACAACATACATGCAAAGAAATGTGTCAATTTAGTGATGGCATAATTTTCACCTGCTAGAAGAAGACACATTGCATTTCTCCTTTTCTTCCAGACACACAAACATGTGTGCATGGAACTTATGGAAACGTAAGATTTATTTGATCTGTATATATTTGTCCTTTAAGATGGTATATCATGTCAGACACTTCATTTTCAGTAGCAGTTAAAAAAAATTGCTTGGGCTACCATTTCCGTGCTCTTCTTCCTGCCTGAAATTAAAGGAAGTATATTCAAGTAAAGAAGAGCATGTCTTAAATTGCTACTGATGTTCAAATGTACCAGGAACTGAATGGATATTAACTATGAACTACTAATGAATGCTCTCTGTATGTTATGGTAAATAGCACTGTTAGGTCATTGGGTGTACTTGTGTAGCCATTTTTCTCTCTATGTCCTTGTCATTAAATGTATCTATGCTTTTTCCATAATTTACATGTAAGAGCTACGTGTGTGCATATGCATGCTCCTACACAGATGCATGCTAAACAACCTCTTTGCAGAATGTTCATCAGAACACATTTCTCAGAAATTCATTATGAAGTCAAGACTATGCTTTATTTTTCAGCACTATCTCAACTTTTTTCTATTTTAGAATGGAGTAGAGTGTCTTGCATACTATAAATGCTTAATAAATGTTGCATTTCTTGAATTGAAATACTCATCTCGTAGGATTTACTATGTCTATGGGTAGACCAATGTTTGTAAATAAGCACCTTCACAATGTGAGACATTTAGTTTTAAATGCTTAATTTCAGTGAATTAAAATCTTAACACTGACACTGACTTTTTTCCCCCTCCCCATTTAGGAATATATTTTAAAACAAGTTGCAACGATGTACATCAAGCTTGGATGGCCAACAAATAATTTTAATGGATCCCTTGTTCAGGCATCTTACCAACATGAGTACTCCTTTGTTTTCTTGTTTCTATCTCTAGCCCCCAAAATTGTAGTAAAAAAAATAGTACCAATACTACTATGACTTTAACAGCATGAGACAGTCTTACTTTCATTTCTCATCTCTCATTTCGCTCTCTGGGGAGGACTGCTGCTGTGTTAACATAGTTTCCTTTACCTTGTATTTGTGGACAAAGATATTTTTCTTGCTATGCTATAGTTTAAGTTCTATCTCCAGTGGTGATATTGGGATCTGAACCCATGCCCTTTTTTGTAGTAATGTTTACACAGCAGATATGGTGCATATTTAGTTAGTCTATGTGCTGCTTAATTGGTTATTTAACCCCATAGAATTATAGAGTCTAGTTTAATTATGTTCTGATGTACTATTAGTGAGGATATTTATTGTCTTCCTAAGAATGGTGATATAGAGGGATGGGACTGCCTTTTCATTTTTTTTAAAATTTCTTTTCTTTTGCTTTGATAATGCCCAGAGAGTTACGGCGAGAAGTTATAATGCTGGCATGCAGCTTTGGTAACAAACACTGTCACCAACAGGCTTCAACGCTTATTTCAGACTGGATTTCCAGCAATAGGAACCGGTGAGTTGAACAAGACTTATATTTCCACAAAATTTAACCCTCTTGAAGATTCTGATGAGTAGATAGATAGATAGATAGCTATAGCTATAGAGATATAGAAAAATATGTGTGTGTGTAGATAGATAGATAGCTATATCTATATACTTTTCACAGACTGTTAAAAGAAATCAAAAATCCATTCCAAAATTCATTTTTTCAGCTACATGTTATTGTTGTAGGTACTAAACAATTCACTGTTTAAAAAAAATTAAAGAGGAAGTTGCAGAGTTGCAAAAATTTAGACTAAAAATGAAGATGAACTTTCAAAAAAACTTAAGCTATCTAAAAGTGGAATAGACTCCTTTAGAAGGTTAATGGGTTCCTCTTGAAGCATGTTCTTATTCATGCTTAGTGCATATGAAGTGCTTAATAAATGTTCCTCCCTCCCGCTTTCTTTTCCTCCTTCCTTCCTTCCTTCCTTCCTTCCTTCCTTCCTTCCTTCCTTCCTTCCTTCCTTCCTTCCTTCCTTCCTTCCTTCCGACATTGGCCTAGATGACTTCTGAGGTCCTTTCTAACTAAGATTCTGTGACGCAGTAGTCAAAATGAACAGGTCTGAGAAAGACATTGGACTTTTTCTTTAAATGGTGCCTACTATATGCCATTGTAAGGCTTTATTTTATTTTATTATTTTATTTTATGTTTTCATCTTTCACACACAGTTTAATAATTTGGCAAGCATTTGTTAGGTGCCTACTAATTGCCAGGGTTTGTATTAGGCATGGGAGATACAAAACCAGAAGTGAAATAGCTCCTGACCTTAAGAAGCTTACGTTCTACAAGGGAAAATAACATGTGTAGAGATAAGTAGATATATGATTTATACAAAATAAGTAAGAAGTACTTGGGAAGCTCTAACAACTATGAGAATCAGGAAAGGCCTGTTTAGATGGAGACTCCTATGTGGATCCTTGAAGTGACCTAGGAGTTCAAGGCTTGGGGAAAATTTATGTAAAGTGTTGGGAAATGGAATTGCTTTGCTGGAATTCATAGTTTTAGAAGGAGACTAACGTGAAATGAAGGTTGTTTAGAGCTCTATTTAATACATATTAACCAAACAAAACTTATGGATTTGGTTTCTATGTGATAGAAACTATGTCTGTGAAGGAAATGGGCAACAATGAATTTTTCTGCTATGTAAGCAGACATTTCATTGTGATGAACATTGTCAATTTGGTAGTGTTGGAGGGAATTCAAGTTAGTTATGTAATTCAGAATTTAAAACAATTCAAGTGGTTGTAAATACATTGGATATAATAGAAAGAATATAAAGTGTCAATTTTTTTGGCTTTTCCTTTCCTAGACTTTGGACTTCTATTATTTAAAAGTTTCCCTACTGGCTTTTCATTCTTCCTGTTTCAGTGATATCAAGTGAACAAAATAACTTAAGGCTACAGAATTAGAAAAATATGATTAGTATGGACCCTGTTATAAAAAGATAAGTTTTCAGTATTTTGTGAATATATGGGTCCATTTGAGGTATTCATCTCATGGTAAATTGACACACTTTCCAAAGAAAAACAGGAATTGCATTGAATGTATGAATGGCCACAGATCATAAATACAGAGCTAAAAGGGCCCTTAACAAATCATTTAGTCCAAACACCTTATTTTGCAGAAGAGTAAACTCAGACTCAGAGAGGTTAATTTACTTGTCTAAGATCACAAAGGTAATAGCTTACTTTTCTTTTTCTTTATTCTTTTCTTTCTCCTTCCTTCCTTCCTTCCTTCCTTCCTTCCTTCCTTCCTTCCTTCCTTCCTCCCTTCCTTCCTTCCTTTCTTTCTTTCTTTCTTTCTTTCACATTCCTGAGAGCTCTGTTATATTAAGATTGGGGAGATGTGGTCAAGAAAGGTGGCAATTACAAAATGATATTGCACTGATCTATAGTCATGAGTTGGGGCTCACTTTATCAAATTCTTAGCTGACTGTTTTTTTTAAATAATATACAAGGGAAAAAAGTTCCCTTGAGGCATCTGCTGTTGAAATGAATCTGGCTTCCTATGCTCAATTATCTGAGACTTTGACAAGTCTGAGATTTCAGCAGGAATGGGAAACTCCAGGGGAAGAAACACCCCCTTCCAATGCTGATCAAAATTCTATGAGCCATTGGGAAATTAAATGACTTGCCCAAAGCCCTACACTCCTTTCTAGACTGCTTAGCTGACTTTTAAGGAGGTACTCATTTTATTCAGGGGCATTCCTAGATTTTGAAAGACATGCCTTCCTTTGAGGAACCCTTACCTACTTGGGCTTTTCCTTGGTGTTCAGGAATGATTTCTAACCCATCAGAATAAAAGGTTAAATCTATAATCTGTTTTCTAAAATATTTTATGTAATTTACTATATAGTCATTATTTAATCTACAAAGTAATAGCCACTAAGTGTTATTCACAACTGACTAAATAGGACAGTATGGCTTTATAAATTCTCTTAGAAACTCATGGAACCACTGGGTTGGAAGGGGTGCTTGGGATCACTCATTTCTCCTTGATATTTAGGCTACCCATCCAATCCAACAAGCATGTACTATATGAATTCTTTCACAATGCCTAGTAGTTATCTAATCCCTGCTTGAACATATCTACTGAGAGGCATTCTATGACCTTGTAAGGAAGCCATTCCATTTTGAGGAAACCCTGATTGTTGGTAATTTCTTCTTAGCATTGAGCTTAAATCTTCCTCCCGGTATTGTTCATCCAAAGGACATGAGAGGAATTCTTTGGGCTTATAACTCAGTCTGCATGTATCTTAGTACAATGCAAAGTATGGTAATTATTCAATAGAGGTGCTTTGGAGATTATGATCAAAATATAAATTATCCATACCAAGGGCATAACAGTTCATCGATTAACTCAACAAATGAGTGCTAACTTAAAGATTATCAATTTATCATAGCCATTCAGTGAATACTGTTCATCCTCTTCCTTATATCCCCAAGCAACAAGGAGTGACATACATACACACATATATAGCATGTATGTATATGTTCTGTATATATGTATTTGTACAAATATAAAATTTTCTCTTTGCCACTACTGGTAAGCACCGAACCTTGGACTGGTCAGGTAAAGAATCACTAAACTACACATTATACTTAGGCAAAGATCCGACTTTCTACTTGAAAGGATACTGAACCAGAATCTACTTCTCCTTTATCTCACTGTCCATGGAAAGTGAAGAAGAGAAGGCAATTTGGTGTATATCCTAACCACAACTAAAATCTACAGCATATATAATATACACTTGGATAATTAGAAGAAGATCATAGCTACTAGTGGACATTTAGAATTGTACCTTTTACCAAAGATCTCATTAAAAAAATAGACTGAATACCACCTTTTTATAATCTGTTCCAATCTCTCAGAACCCCAGGCAGTATATCCCTTTAAGTTGTGGATATTTTTCTCTGGTTCCGCTCTAAGAGAAAATGGAAATCATCCAGTTTTCATTATCCATAAAATCATCCTTCATTTATGTGAAGACAGCAATTAAATCACCCATCATACTTCTCTTCTCCAGGCTAAATGTTACCAATTCATTTAACTTTTATGAAGTTATAATTTTTGCAAATGCCTTAAAAATCATTGCAACATTCCTTTTGACCTAAAAATTGTTCATGGCCCTTTTCCATCATTAATCAATTTCCTCTCTCCTTCTAATTCTTATCATCTCTTTGTACTAGCCCTCATACCTTCTAGCTTAAAAAAAGTTCACAAATATCTACCTAAAACCAATAAAATAAAGATTGTTTACACTATATAGTTTTATGTAAAGTTGACAAAAAAAAATTGAGCAATCAACAGAAGGATTTCATTTCCACATAACTCATGGTGCAATTTCCTTTGGGTTTCCACATCCTGGCAAAGATTATATTAGCCTTTGACGAAGCCATCTGACAATGTTGAGTCATATTAAACATGCAATCCACTGAAGTTTCTTAGGATTTTTCAAGTTAAATGCTACTGAGTGAAATCTTCTAAGACTTTCCAGAGTTGGGAAAGTAGTCTCTCAACCATGATATGGTAGAGATGCAGCCATGTACTGCTGTCTTAGGCTTTTCTCATCACAAAGTTAATGTCATTAGATTCAGTTCAATTTATTAAGTACTTGCTACAAAGTTTAAAAACAATGCAGGCTCTGTCTTTAAAGAGAGTACAATCTAAAATATACACAAATAAATATGCTACACAGTAGAATGTATCAAAAGCTAGGGAGAAACATAAAGTACTATACAAATTTGGGCAGGGAAAGATTGTTTTCAAGGTGGGAGTATCTGAGAAGATAATCGCAGAGAATCTGCAACCTGAACTCAGTCTTGAATCAATCAATAAACATTTATTAGGCCTCTAATGCTCTCACTGAAACAAAAGGTTGAAACAGGTCAAATTAAGAGGGAGGAACACACACCAGTCATGGCAAATGTCTCCCATAAATGGTCAAGATACTACAGGATGAGATTAATGTCAGATTGATATCAATTTAATCATGATAAGAAGGGACAGAGCATAAGAACTACCCATCTAAATGCTTCCCCCCCAGGAGGTTCCTTTAGTCTTTTTTTATTTTTTTGCTATTCTCTACTCATTTATAGGCAAAGCTAGATATAATACTAAGATCTTAACCTATGTCAAAAATAGTGAAAATATGAAAATATTCCACATAGTGTGTCCTATAAAATTATATGCACATATCTATATTTACATATAGATATATTATCCATTTATCATCTCTATTCTAGCATCTATCCATCCACCCATCCACCCATCCATCCATCTGTCTATTTACCTATCAAATGATCTCTTGTGGTTGTCATTCCTCAAGAGGAAGTCTAACAATCTATCTTAGAGTCTATGCATAACTTTTTTCCATAATCATAATTACTGATTATAATGTCATCATGTAGCAGTGATCTGTATGGCAGCTTTTGTAAATGATGGCAATATTTCATATATCCATTCAACAA